TATTTTGAGACGGAGGGAGTATAAATTTCTCCATGGTTTACCAGGGACCACTGATCAGCTAGCTCACCCTGCATGCAATCGGCGACACCTTCCATGAGTTCGACAAGTGAGGTGGACAGTAAATATGGCGTTTATATTTCCTTCGGATGACTCTCCACACCTTATCCCTCGTTTCTTAATTAGCCGCTAATTAAACATTATTAATGGACTCGTCTTCTTTTTCCCTCTCTTTTTGAATCATAATGGGACTCTCGCCTCTTGGAGATATGTGAGTCACCTTTTCTCCTGGTGCTATCTATCGTCGATGCAACATGGCTATGCCTAGCTTAGCAAGTCCCTACTAGTAGTAAATGGCAATTTGCACGCCAGATGCGTAAATTTAAGGATTATCTTGAAATGTTGCGTGGTATATGTTGGGAGGGACTGGTGGCAATTTAATTTAGCATACCATCATATTTTCAATTCTTATTAACTTCATTTTCAAGTAAAGTCCATACATTTGCACGCTTACAATTGTCTGATTGACTAGAGTAGAGTTCTACACACATGAAAAAAATATTGGTATAAACAAAGGAAAATCCTGGGTCATAATATTTGTAAAATGAATTTATACTTGTTTATAAGAATGATGGCAAATTTATACGTGAAGTTCTAGGTTTATTATAAGTCAATTTTCTTTAAATTTACCCCACAAAAAAATTATCTGTAAATTTGACCAAATTTAATGAAACATATACCAACATTAATTTTTTCTGAACATAGTACAAACGCAAATGCTCACATACACTCAACCCTCAGAAAGCAAGCACGCACACACTCACATAAACGCAATTGCGCATTGCCAGAAGGCCATAAATAAATGCAAGAAAATGTGACCACCAAGGTCAGGTCTAGAACCTGAAACATGGTGGGTTGTTTTCAACACAAGCAACCTAGCCATCGGAGCTACCCTCAGTTCGCTATACCAACGTTAATTAACAATACCAAACATGTTTCATCAGATTTATCATAATATAATTTCTACATATATAGTCGCAATAATTTCAAATATTTATGAGCGAAGGGAGCCCCGTGCTACGGTAACATACTTGCATTACTTTGGAGGAGCTAGTTGTAGGTAGCTCTAAACATGTATTTTCGCAATTTCTAATTTTTTGCATGCATTTTCTATCTTCTATGTGTATAGTTTTTTCGTTTGCGGGATTCTATATGCATATGTGTATATGTACTTTTCATTGCACTTAGTACAACACAAGTCAGGTGGTTGCCCTGAGCTCCTTCTCCTCACGATGCCACGCTCACACCGTAAGATCCATATCGAACAGAGGGGGGCATCGCACCTGGGGGCACCAACTTACTCTTGTTCGTCGTCGGTGATATGGACGTGGAACTTATCACTCGATTCCATTGTTTCTTCCACAAGTCTGCTCTTCTAGGTGTCATATGATATGCCTCCCACGAGTGCCCATTGTGCGCTAGCTTTTGCAATTAGATTCTGTAATTACGATAAGAGCAATGCTACATCCACGAAAATTAACATAAATGTTTACGTGATTGGTCACTTGTCAAGTTATGATTGGAAATAGAGGGAAGGAGGGCCACCCCGTGAAAATCAGGGGGGGAGGGGAGAGAATTAAGGGAAATTTACATAGGATCAAGTAGTGGGTTAGGTAGATGTAGTATTATTGTTGCGACAATAATATCATTACACAGAGTAAAGCTACATCAACGGACAAATTTTTACAGACCTCCTCCGCAAAAATATTTTTACAGACCTCATGGGATAAGCTGACGTGGGCAGATCTAATAATTGGAAAAAGAATGAAAATGGTAGACTCACGGACTCTTACAGGCTAATACAGGCTCTTTCCAACTAATTAAACTTGCCCCCTCCCCCATGATTTTCAGCTGGGGTGGGGCCCTCATCCTGATTTTCACCCAATCAAAAAACACCACGTCAGCCTCTCCGTGAACCTCGTAAAATTGATGCCGGTGTGTGTAGCATTGCCCGAAAAAGAAAGGGGAGGAGCCCACCCAGTGAAATTCAGAGATCTTTTTTTGTAGTCCATCCGTTTGTCTAGCGTGTTACACCACCTTTTTCTCTGGTGTATAAATAATCCAGTAGTATCTGATTGCCCCCAACAGAACAAGCCAGGAAGTCTCTACAATACTTGCAGTAGAAATGGGCTCTTTGCTGCATGTCTCCTCGAGTGCCACTCAACATAGCAAGCTTCATCGGGCTTACCAACTCCTGTTTTTCCATGTGCACCCGTTCTGGCTCCAGCTCTTGTACTTTGTATCCATCTCCTCCTTCGGTTTCGTGATCCTCAAAGCCCTGCCCATGAAGACCGGCATGCCCATGGACCTGGACCTGATCTTCACGTCGGTATCGGCGACGACGGTGTCGAGCATGGTGGCTGTGGAGATGGAGTCCTTCTCCAACCCCCAGCTCCTACTCCTCACCCTCCTCATGCTCCTCGGCGGCGAGGTGTTCACCAGCATGCTTGGCCTGCACTTCACCTACCTCAAGTCCAAGAAGAAAGAAGCACAAGCCCCCCACGAGCATGACGATGCTGACAAAGGCAAACCAGCACCATCATCTAGCCTACAGCTCACCGCTACCACCTGCATGGATGATGTCGATCGTGTGGAGCAAGGGTTTAAGGACCAGCCCCGTTACGATCGTGCCTTCCTCACCAGGTTGCTCATGTTCATAGTGCTTGGCTATCACGTGGTGGTGCACCTCGCCGGCTACTCCTTGATGCTGGTCTACCTGAGCGTCGTCTCCGGCGCAAGGGCTGTGCTCGCCGGCAAGGGGATCAGCCTGCACACCTTCTCCGCCTTCACCGTCGTCTCGACATTCGCCAACGGTGGCTTCGCGCCGAACAACGAAGGGATGGTCGCCTTCCGGTCCTTCCCGGGCCTCCTGCTCCTCGTCATGCCGCACGTCCTCCTCGGCAACACGCTCTTCCCTGTCTTCCTCAGCTCGGCGGTGGCGCCGTACGTGAGGGGGCCACACCCTGGAGACGTGTGCTGCCTCTTCAGACATGCCACCACACCTTAAGGTATGTAGGAGGGCCTGGTGTGATGCTCCGGTGGCATTGCTACCCTCCAAGGCCCCCGTCCCGCCTAACCGTAGTGCGATTGACCACGAGATCTAACCCTTTGACTTTCCCCGAACGGGCTTTGACTAGTGGACTTCTCCACCTGGTTGTGGTAGCTCAGCCTATAGGAACACTTGGGAGCAACCTCCGGGC